GCATTTTTATTCTAAAATATCCTATATTCTAATTTGCTACATAGCTTAATCTGCTGTATTATTTTATCCAAATCAAATACTTGCTAAAAAGCCAATGGCTAAAAAAAAGATGGTAAATTCATTTTTAGGTTAAAAAAAAAAAAAAAAAAAGCAAAAGTAATTTAACAAACCAATATTTTATTAATTTTAAAACAAAGTAAGAGCAACTGTATTACTTTGTTCCAACTTACTAGTTCTTATAAACCCACCTACTAGTTATTGATACTTCTAAAAAATATAATCCTTTAAAGGTATAAATATGTTGCAATTACCAATAATATATTGAAATAATAAAAAGCCTAGATAAAAAGCAATATTTGAAAAAATAGTTAAAAAGATCAATAATTGTTTTCATATCCAAAATAGATAGATTTTACTTCTTGTTGATAATGTAGCTTCCTATATATTTATAGATATAAATAATACAAATAGTATAAATGAAATACAAGATAATATTGAACAATCATATAAAGGTGAATCTACTGATAAAGCTGAAGAATTTTAAAATGAGCCATGAGAAAGATTAACAAAAAAGGCTACAAGAAGACTACAAAAAAGGCTATGTGAAAAGTCATGAAGAAGACCATGAAGAAGGTCGCAAAAAGAATTTCAAAGAGCATATTCTGATCAATTAAGACAAGCTCCAGATTTTTTTATCTCACAAATGTTACTTTATACTATCTTCTATCAAATATGATGGCTCACCTCTAGTCCATAAATGCTGGTATTATTCATAGCTTTAAATCTAAAAACAAAAAACTGTTTTGTTATTATTTGCTTTCATGATTTGAAAAAAATAAGAATCAAAAATAAAATTGTTACAGCTAATACTAAAATTTGAATTTATTTTAATATAAAATTTTAAAAAAAAAATTTGTTTTTAACTTTTTTCTTAAAGTTAGGCTAGTTAGAGCTTGTAGTAAAAGAAAAAACCATCAATCCTTAATAAATTCCGTAAAAATTAAATACAAAGCTTTAGAATATTTGTAAATTTTATTATAAAGTTTGAATTAGTAGCATAGTAATTCTTTAAGAATTGAACTTTTTGATATTATTATATATAAGAATAAACTTTGAAATAAAGAAAATTAACTGTTTATGAACTTTAGTAAAGTTATATTTCAAATAAAGATTTCAAATTTAGTATTACTATTTATATAATACAGAAAACTTAGCTTAAAAAAAACTATTAATTTTATTGCTAAAGTATAAGATGAAATTAGTGATACAACTATTAAAAATTGCTGGAAAACTACTAAGATTATACCTAAAGTAAATGAGCTAGAGATAAATAAGCCAGAAATAAGTGAACAAGAGAATAAATCAGAAAATAAGATCTTTGAAACAAATGATGTTGCCAAGCTAGTTAATAATTTTTCATCTGAGACTAACCTAGCAGCTCAAAAATTAATTTATAATAATGAAAAGTATGCTTATACAATCGACCAAATAGCTATAACTAAGAATATATTAATAGATGAAAGTATTGTCAAAATGATAATGAATGAGTTCTATAACAATAATGATGAAACAGACGATAATAAAGGATCTCCTTCTCCTTCTCTGATAACTATTATAGATACTATTGAAGTATTAAAAAAAGTTATAGATTATTAAAAGAGTCTTAAATCTAAAAAAGAATCTAATGAGAAGGGTCTAACATATTGCAAAAAAGGCTTAAAAAATAGCAGTATAAAAAAAATTAAAAAAGCAATCTTCACTTTTATTATATTTTAATTGTGATGAGTGCTAAAGCTTGTGGTATTACATTTATATGCAATTCAAATAAGTTTTTTTTTGCAATTCAATTGCTAGTTACATAAATATTATAGTAGCAATTTTTTATATAGTTTTTTTTTGAAAAAATTAAATAAAGCATTAGTGTATTTAGTATATTTTATGTTTACTGTTGTTGATCTAGTTTGCCAAGCTAAGTTTAAAGTTAATGAAGAAATAATTTATACTAAAATCTTCATAATAGATTTTTTGGATAAAATCTAGCTCACAATCAATTTTTTTTAAAAAGAAAATTTTAACTTTTTTTGCAATTTGTTTTTTTACATTTTTTTTTTTTGCAAAATTTTTTTTTGTAATTTTTTTTAATTGTTTTTTACAATTTCTTTGATTTGGATAAAATAATACAGCAGATTAAGCTATGTAGCAAATTAGAATATAGGATATTTTAGAATAAAAATGC